AGGCCTAGATTTCCATCAGACTGAAAGCTGAGAGAGAGGGGGTGGGGGGGTAGGGCGAGGAGACACTTGAGACACTTGCAGACCTTCTGGTCAGGGTGCTTTCCTTATTGCAACAGTCCCTCCCTGCCTGCGATCTTCCTCTTGAATGAAGTCACTCCTTACTGAACAACAAAACAAACACCCAGGCCAGGCTCTCCCCACACCGGTTACGTCGATCCCTGGGAGCAGGACCTGAGATCCTGAAGTACAGCCAGGGCTGAAAACGGCCTCATTGGGACACTCTAGAGGCTGGGGTGGGGTCATTCCTGGTGAGACACGGGGGTGAAGGGGCCATTGCCCTGCACAAGTGCCTGTTTAAGTGTCTGGCACACAAAGAGCCCGGTGAGACGGTTCACAAAAAGATACACATATGTGTTCCTTAAAAATATTAAAAATGCTCAACTTCATTCATACGAGCTACTAATTAAAAACATACTAAGACGTTATTTCTTATCAAATTGGTAAAAGTCCCAAAGTTTGACAACACGCTCTCTTGGCTAGGCTCTTGTGCATTACCAGCGATGGGAGCATAGCCTAGTACAAAATGGGAGGGAACTTGGGAGTAATATCTACCAAACAGTATCCATATTAACATCTATCTGCTACTATTAACATATAAAGGAACATCTACCAATAAAAATCACAATTGCACTAACCCTCTAGCCCAGCATTCCCACTTTTAGCAATCTCTCCCACACCTACACCTGCACAAGTTAAAAGGACAGATATTAGGTTATTCTTGCAGCCCTGTAACAGCTCAAAACTGGAAACAGCCCAAATGTCCAGAAAGAGGGACTAGTTGAAAAACAATGACACTTCCAAGATAGTGGAGTGCAGCCATAAGAAAAACTAAGACCCATATTCCCAAACGGAGAGATACTGCGTATATATTGAGTGAAAGACAAAAAAGTAAAAAGTACAGAACAGTATATATCATATACTATCTTTTATATAATAAAGGCATAATTGCTTGTATTTACTTAAAACAAAAAACCTACACTGCAGTGATAAAAAAAACAAACAAAAAACAACCATCTCCAAACACCAAAGGGTAAGATATTCAATAGACTATCAAAAACATGATGAGTTCCCGGGCAGCATGGCTCAGTGGTTGAGTGTCCAACTATGAACCAGGAGGTCACGGTTCCATTCCCAGTCATAGGGCATGCAGGAGGCAACCGATCAATGATTCTCTTTCATCACTGATGTTTCTATCTCTCTCCTTTTCCCTTCCTCTCTCTGAAATCAATAAAAACAGAGAGAGAGAGAGAGAGAGAGAGAGAGAGAGAGAGAGAGAGCCACATCATGCAGACTGATCTTCTAATTCTCTTTTGCCACTATAATACATGGACATCTTTCAGTATTAATGCTTTACAGTATGTCGGTACACATCCTTATGTGCCCTCTATATACTCTCTATAGCAGCAGTTCTCAAACTTTTTTAAAAACATATTTTTATTGATTTCAAAGAGGAAGGTAGAGGGAAAGAGAGAGAGAAACATAAATAATGAGAACCATGGATCGGCTGCATATTGCATGGTCCCTACTGGGGATGGAGCCCACAGCCCCGGGACATGCCCTTGACCAGAATCAAACCTGGGAACGTTCAGTCAGCAGGCCAATGCTCTATCCACGGAGCCAAACCAGCTAAGGCAAACTTTTTTTTTTTTTCTCAAACCTCTTTGACACTCTGAAAATTATTGAGGACCCTGAAGAGTTTTTGTTTATATAGCTTATCTCATCATTATTTATCATTCTAGAAGTTTAAACTAAAAAATTTTAATTATTCATTTAAAAATAAATGTTTTTATTATAACTGAAAAATAAATAACTATAGATATTCTTTGAAGCTATACCAAAACTTGGTAACTGGTAGTTTCCTAAGGTTAGCTGTAATGTAGAATCTAAACCTGTAACAATGATCTTTGGTATTGTTACATAAAAATTCATTGGTCCATCTTATATCTTAAATGAATCTTTTACCTGTATGTGATTTTATAATATCATGTGTTGATCATTTAGAAAAGAGAGATTCACTGAATTATGTAGATCTTCCAAATAACACATTTGATTATAAGACTAGAGGCCTGGTGCACGAATTTGTGTACCAGTGGGGTCCCTCAGCGTGGCCTGCAGGATTGGACCGAAACTGGTTTTCCAACATGCCTCGAGGGGTTTCAGATTGCAAGAGGGCGCAGGCCAGGCCAAGGGACCCCACCAATGCACAATCAGGCCCGGGAAGGGATGCAGGAGGTTAGCCAGCCAGGGAGGGACCGAGGCAGGGCTCCAGGGTATGTCCAGCCAGTCTCAGTTCTAATCGGCTGAACACCAGCAATAAGCTAACCTACTTACTGCTGAGCATCTGCCCCCTGGTGGTCAGTGCATGTCATAGCAACTGGTCAATTGGTCGACTGTCTGCCCCCCACCCCGTGGTTATTGCACATCATAGAGATTGACTGACCCGTCAACTGCCTGCCCCTGGTGGTCAGTGCACATCATAGCAAGCAGTTGAGCGGCCTTAGCATATAATTAGCATATTACCCTTTGGTTAAACAGCTAACTGGACACTTAGAATATTAAGTTATTATACAGGAGGATATCAAAATACCACATTTATAAATAGTATCACCAATCTCTATAAGATATGATTATTTCCACAATCTATTTTTTTGCTGGAAAGCTAAAATTTTTATCTTTGGCAACAGATACTACCAGTTGTTTTCTTTGAAAGACTCTTTTATATATTAAATCTGAATAACCATCATTTGTCAGTCGTCGTTTTTCATCATAGTTTCAAGTAAAAATGAATAGTCCATGATATAAGCACTAGTTCAGACTGCAACTCAAACAACTGCCCCAATGCTCTGCCTAGAGATAATCAATACACAACAGAAAAGCACTGAGAATTCCCTTTCATCCCATAGGATATTAAGCACATATACACAAGGATCAAGAGCTAATAAAATTAACAGTTTTTGCTACTTCACCAAGGACATTCTTAAGTGAAAGTCTTTTTTTTTAAAAACTATGAGTGCACAGCATGCATACATGGCTACCAGTAAACTAGCAGTTAGGTACCACAGCCTTTGATTCATGCATTACTTTTGCACCATTCGTGCAGAGTACAATAACATCTTGGCATTGCATTAATATGCAAACTGTTTTAACCCTGGGCCCCCAAAGGGGTATATCAGGAACATCTAGGGACTATACTGTTCTGTACTGGGATAGTTTCCCAAAAGTGAGATTTTACTGGCTCATTGCTATATACACTTTAAATTCTGAGTTTGGTCAAAGCTCTCCTGAAAGTCTGAACCAATTTTCCTATTTCACTAGCATTTTAAAATGCAAAGAATTCATTTTACAAATGCTGAATTGGGGAGGCACCAGAACATAACACATTACCATATTTGCCTGTCTAAAACCAATGCTAAAATATAACCAAATGTTTTAAGCAAAGTAAAATCCAAGTACCTGGAACAATTAGATAAGGTCAATATTTTTCTGTAAGAAAGTCAAAACCTCAACTGTCAAGTGCAAATTCAATGAACCTTTGTTTATTGTAGTCATCCATTGTTAAGAGGTATTGATGGTTGAATTTTAAAATATATGCCACTTGCACACACCTTTGCTTATAGGATCAGTGGACTCAACCAATATCTATAATAATAAAAGCATAATATGCTAATCAGACCGGACGTCCTTCCAGATGTCCTTCCGGATGAAGCCGGGACTGTGAGGGAAGCCTGGGTCTCAGGGCCTGCCCTCAGCCAGAGGGAAGCCCTGGTCCGGGGTACCAGAGAGAAGGCCTACTCTTGCACAAATGTCATGCAATGAGTCTCTAGTTTTAATATAAAGTACCAGTCTGGAAAATGTCAGGCTGCAAGTGTATAAAGAGGACCCTAATTAATTCCACCCATTATAGTCATCTTCTAAGCTGACCCTTACCTAAAACTTCACACAGAGCCGAAACCGGTTTGGCTCAGTGGATAGAGCGTCGGCCTGCGGACTGAAAGGTCCCGGGTTCAATTCCTGTCAGGGGCATGTACTTGGTTGCGGGCACATCCCCAGTAGGGGGTGTGCAGGAGGCAGCTGGTCCAATGTTTCTCTCTCATCGATGTTTCTAACTCTCTATCCCTCTCCCTTCCTCTCTGTAAAAAAATCAATAAAATATATTTTTTAAAAAACAAAACACTTCACGGGGGGAGGGGGAGGTAAGATATGTACACAGATAATAATTTTTAAAAAAGGAAAATATTTTTTTTAAAAAACACACACAGAATTACTAGAAGTGAAGAGTAACATGCACTGTCACAACTCAAATGCCAACTATGTCCATAAAAATGTCAAAGACAACTTTTTTGCCCAAATGTCATCTGAAACAGGGACAGTGGAGGAGGAACTTTCACTCCATCCCAGGGAAAGGACGACCCCTGCACAGAGTAAATAACTGGAAGCTGGATACCAGCTCCCATGGAATGCTGCTCCCTGCCTGACTTTTCCCGGACCCCAAAGTGAGTGCTTATGACCGAGAAGGGCATGGACGTCAGTGCCAACCAGGACCTGCGATTCGTAAGCTCTGGGGGAGCGCATGCAGGGGAAGAGGAAAAGGACTCGTGCACCTGAGGGGAAGAGCCCGCGCCTCGGGCTGGAGCACCATCGTGGACTGTGGATCCTGGGAAAGCACGAGTCCAACCTCCGCAGGAAGCTGGCAGAGTAAAATGGCTTGTCCAAGGTCACCCGACAGCAGGCGAGAGCCAGACAAGAAACAAGTAACAAAAACATACTGAACGAGGACGTCCCCGCACCAGCAACCTTTTCTCCTCCAAAGAAACCGAGAAAGCTACAGTGACAGAAGTTCTAAGTGGACCAGGAAGGAAGCAGCCCGAGTGCCGCTGTCCACCGCCCCCCTGCACTCCCCGGGCTGATCGCCGGAGGGGACGTGCGGGCCGAGCACTCACCATGTTCCACGAACACGTTGCAGGGCGGCCCGCCGTGCCGGGAGGACTCCTTCTTGCCCGCTACCTTGATGAAGTGCAGGGCAGGCAAGCTCGGCCTCCTCTGGTCCCCAAGAACTTTTCCAGGCTGCTGCCCCATAAAGTAAGGATAGGTGCCCCTTTCCAGAAGAGGGTTCGAGGGCTCTCAGAATGGCCCGTGAGCTCAGGAGGACAACGGCCCACGGCCCACGTGGGGTTTCACATGCCCCGCGCGCCCGGGGGTCAGTCACGGAGAGACACCGTCTCGCACCCCCTGTGCAAACAGGGGGGCCGGCTACGCTCGCCGTTTGTCGATCCGCAGTCCTTGCAGCGCCCCCCAAAAGTTGCTTGGTTGGTAAGTGTCTCTTTTACGGGCTAAACGACAGGTTTCTTTCCAGGAGGGACGCCTCGGCCGGAGAGATTCCCAGGAGATGCCGCTGCACCGGGGCAGTTGCTCAGGTCATCGCGCTGGTTCCCACCCGCAAAGGAAACGTGGGTCGTCCTCGGAGGCTGCTCCAGAACCTTCCCTGCGGAGGTCAGCCGCCCCCCGGCCGCTTCTCCATCTGCGGACAGGCCTCCCGCCGCCCCGCCGTCCGGAGGGCTCAGCGGGAGCGGGCCCCGGGCTCCGCCGAGGAGCGGTGCATGGCCAGCACCTTGAAGGGCCGCTTTTTAAAAGGCCTGTGGAACGAGTCCAGACTCTTCCTCCGCATGGGCGTTTGGGGCAGGGCTGAGGCGAGGGGCGCCGTCGGTGACATTGGGAGAAGTCAGGACATTGAGGCTCCCGGGAGCAGCCTGGGGAGGAGGGGGCGGAGGGGGCCCTGGACGGCAGGGAGGGGTTTGAATGGAAGGGGGGTGGGGAGTTCGAGGCCGGGAGTCGGACGAAGGGGCGGCTGGAGGGGGAAGGGGAGGGGGAGGGGGAGGCGGCCGGGCGCGGCGCGGGCGGTGACTCCGGGGCGACGCTCCCCGGCGCCTCGGGAAGCCGGGCGCCCCGGGTCCAGGGGGAGGAAGACCACCCCCAGGGTCCCAGAGCCGGCGCAGGGCTCTGAGGGCCCAAAGGCTCGCGGGGCTTCGCAGGGGGGAGGCGGCGAAGCGAGGAGGAGGCCCGGCCGCCTCAGCTGCCCCGAGCCCGGGGGTCTCTGCCCGAGACTCCCCCTCCCCCGGCCCCGGACGTCGCGGCAGCCGCCAGGCAGTCACATCCCCCGAGCTCCGCCGCGGGGCCCGGCCGCGCCCCGCAGGTAGGGGCCGTGGACAGCGGCGCTGCTCCTCAGCTGCAGGACCCGGGACCGGCTCCGGCTCCGGCGCGGCTCAGGAACGGACACTGACCCCCGCGGCCGCCATGATGGATTACGAGCCGCTCCACAACGAGGCCAGGCCCCGCCTCCGGCCCCGCCCCCAGCGGCGTCCCGCGCGCGCCGCACGGGGACCGGGACCCTCCAGGCGCCGTTCTCGCGGCGCCGCCGCACCTTCCCGCTCAGCTCCCCGTGCCCGCCAGAGCCCGCCCGGGCCCAACCATGGAAATGCGGTTTTTCCGAGGGCACGGTGAATGGTGAGGAAGCGCCCGCCTCCCCTGCCTCACCATTGGACCCCGAGAATCCGGGTCATGGCTCCCCCCTGCGTCCTATTGGCTGACAAGGGCAGTAAAGCTAGCGCTCCCAGCCAACCGTTTTCGGCGCAGCCCGCAGGGCATGTCGGGAACTGTGGTCCCATAGCCCTCCTTCCCCGCCCCTCTTTCTCCCCCTTCTCCCTCCCCCACACACACACCTGTCCTCGTGCACCCTCGACTTCTCGCCCTCTGCCCAGGCTCCTGAGTTCCGGCCCCACCCTCCTGGGAGCCGGTGGACTCTAGCCGGTCTCGCTCGGGCTGGCCAACTTTCTCCCCTGCGCGAGTTGAAAGACCCGCGAGGAACCAGAGCAAGGAGAAAACCATGGTTTGGATTTTCCCAGAACAGGAGTTGGATTACTTCCTTGAGGCTCTTTGAGAAAATTTGGCTCCCTCCTGGGAACCAAGGTTTTTGGTGCCCACTCCCGGACCCTAAATTTCCCACCGTTTCCCCAACAAGTATAAATATTAGAACTAGCGAGAGAAAAAAAAAATGACTGGGAAGCATCCGACATATTGCTAGAGAATTCATTGTTTCTTTGGGGCATCAGGAGCCGCTCGGAGGCTAAGCCAGGCGCAATCACAGATGCTTAAGCGGAACCTTTACCATAAAACCTCATTTCACAGGTGTACATGTATTCACATGAAAACAGCCTCTATGGAAGCCCAGAAATTGCGCGGCCTGTTGGCACCAGGCCTGCAGAACTGCCCAATGACCCAGACACAAGCCCACACCTGTCAAAACCCATGTTCTGCAACTAAAAGGTACCCTGGTTCCCTACTCTTTACTCTCCATGTCTCCCATGGTGCACCTGACCAAGTTACTGTATACCCATTTCTAAGAGGATCCACTCACCACACCGGGCACTGCTATGCTTTTCATAAACTGTATTATCTCATTTAATCCTCACTAAAGCCCAATAAGGCATGAAATATTCCCCATTATACAACGGGAAAAACTTCAAAAACGTTACTTACCCAAGGTCAGTTGCTTAGCATGTGACAAAGTCACGATTTGAGTCCAGTTGATGTTGCTCCAAAACCCATGGTTTTCAGTATCAAACAACTGTTGGCCTCATTAGACACTGATTTTTTAATAAGTTGCCACTGATAGTAGGGGAAAACCACAGCCAAATTGTAGGTCTTGTATGTATCTTGGAAATATTTCTGCTGGATTGGGAAATGATGTTTTTACATAGATTTCAAAAAATAGTCACCTGGAGGGAGTGAATGTGAAGCACATGAGAGAAAATTTGTGCACAAATTCAGAGCTAGAATTTATATTCACAAGATATTTGATTTATCTTTGCTCTGTCACAAAACAATCTGGCTGACAAACTTGGTCCTGGCTTGCAGATCATTCTTAAAACTTGAAGACCCATATTCCTTTATTTATCCATGCAGTGGTTCTCAACCTTCTTAATGTCTCAACCCTTTAATACAGCTCCTCATGTTGTGGCGACCCCAACCATAAAATTATTTTCGTTGCTACTTTGTAACTGTAATTTTGCTGTTAATGAATCATAATGTAAATATCTGTGTTTTCCGATGGTCTTAGGCTCTGATGGATTGCTCCGATACCTCTCTAGAGCTTAAAGCTATTCCTCATTAGTTGTTAATGGGCTTAATCCAGTTATTTAACTCCCTGAATCACTTTCTTCACTTTTAAGTGGAGTCATTTCTGCCAACGTTACAAGGCTGTCAGGAGGATCAAAGGAGATCTTGATTTTCCACGAAGATTGAAATTGTTTTATGAAAGTCAGTATAGAGGCCAGCTGTGCTTAATCTAAACACTTATCCCAAATCTCCATTTTCTACTTTAGCCAATTTCTAATTTTAGGTGAGCCCCAAGCCCAGTCTATATTTTTTAGAGATTCAATATACTTTTTTACCCCGTGTAGAACACTGTAGAATATTTTGAGGACTTGAAACTAGAATCCAGAGCCCAGGAAATCCACCAAATTGCTAAAGGGCTTCAGTACCGGTGTAATTCATCTATCCTATTCCATTCAGTTTATTCCATTTCTTCCGCCCGCTGGAATATACTTAACAAGGACGCCCTCTAGTGGGTCGCAGAAAAGAACCACTAAAAGGTGCTTTTGGCCCTCATATTTCTACTCTGTAGTACCACCCTTCAGCAGATACTGAATGAACAGCATAGGTTGGCAGCTCGGGAGGGATCATTGAGAATAACTTTCAACAAGCTTACATATGGCCCTGGTTAAAAACCAAACCAAACCAGGGACTCGAGTTCCCATCTTTTATTCCCTTCTCCCAAGAGGCATACGACCTGGCCTGTGTTCTCAAAAATGACAGGTAAGCAAACCTAAGTTGCAACTGATACACTTGGAACAGAAAAAGAATGAGATATTTAAAAATTGTCTATTGGGTATTACAAATGAGAAGTATACTCTTTATGCCTGGCTGATGTGGCTCTGTGGTGGTATCTCGACCTAAAAACCAGGAAATCACTATTCAATTCCCTGTCAGGGCGCTTGCCTGGATTGTGGGCTCAATCCCCAGTAGGGGGTGTGCAGGAGGCAGCCTATCAATGATTGTCTCATTATTGATGTTTCTCTTTGCTATCCCTTCCTCTCTGAAAACCAATAATATATTGTATATGTATTACTTAATGAAAAACAGCCAAACTTTATTCAAAATTGTCAAGAACAGTGTTCCATGTTACCACCATTGAAACTATCCTAGGTTTAAATTTTATTAGGTGACCCGAGTAGTTAGAGCCTCTGGCAGAATGTTTATCTGCTATGCCCTCCTTCAACTATACTCAGTTCTCAAGTATTACAAAGGACACAAGAACAGAAACAGTGCCTTTAAACCATTTTTTTATTTTACATCAGACAAGCCAATGCACAGGAATTCTGGCATTTCTTAATAATATCAGCATCTTGCCCTGGCCAGTGTGACTCAATTGGTGATCTCCAAGCCGGGAGAGCCTCTTGCTCAGTAAGGGAGACAGGCTGCCAGGGGGTGCCATACACCAAAAGGTGCAGGTTCCATTTTCAGTCAGGACACATACCCAGGTAGAGGCAAATGTGGGAGGCAACTGATAATTCCTCTCCCTCTTCCTCTCTAAAAATCAATTAAAAAAAAAAAAAGTTAATGCATTGCTACTTCAATTATAGGAGGAACATCTAAAACATTCATTCTATTATTGATAATTCAACTTCTTACAAACCACCCTCAATGGCAGGACAGAAGGCGGCAGCCTGGTGTGGATGCCCTTGAATCTACCACTAGAAGGAACATCCGAAGGGAAGATTCCAACCCAGCAAAAGGCTGCTTGGTTAAGTTTATTGACTGCTGGGCTAACTTACCAACTATATTCTTCAAGGTTGTACTTATACAGCAGAGGAGGTGGGAATGGAAGCCAAAACAGACAATTTGGGGTCAAGTAGCCATTTTTATTGTTGTTGTTTTTGCTTTATTGGTTTTAGAGAGAGAGAAACATTGATGAGAGAGGGAGACTTCCATTGGCTGTCTCCTGCATGCCCCCTACTGGAGATCAAACCTGGACATATGCCATGACCAGGAATCCAACCAGGGACCTCTTGGTTCCTGGGTCGATGCCCAACCACTAAGCCATACCAGCCAAGCTATACAGGCAATTTCTTGAGGCACTGTGCTTTATGAATTGATGGTTAAGTAGAAAAGGAAAGAGTCTTTGTATTATTCCAGGATGGGAGTCCACTTGGAACACTGTGTACTTTTAAAGACCACAAACCACCGAAGTGCTAGGATCTGCAGGCAACCCCAGGGGCCAGCAGCGCAGGTCGCCTCTCCCAGGTTTGACTTTCGAACAGAAGCAAGCAGGTCTGTGGCCGGAGGCAGCCCAATGTACGTCCATGATGGGTTTCAGAGCCACACACGGAACTACAATTCGGATCTTCACTTTTAAGAAACGCTCTGTCAGGTACACAGTCCTGGCCTTCAGATACTTCTGCTTATCCCTCTTGTTCTAAAAGTCTCTGACGCGTTTCCATCACAATTTCTTCCATTATTTCTGGCTTTAAGATGTCTTTAATCTGAAAAAGGAAAAAGTATTCAGAAAAAAAACCAACCACAAGCAGGCCATCAAATCAGGCCGAATGCAGAAAGCAAGCATGGTTAACACAAGCCTTCTATCGTTCTTTCTGTTTCATTTATCAGAGGCTAAGTATTACAGGATATGATCTGCTAGAAGGTTCTCTGGGATACAGCTGACAAGAATAAGATAGGTTTCCAGCACTCACTAAACAGAGAGCTAAAAATGGAATGGGCAAGATGAAGTCCAGAGGGTTGCTGTCATAACCTTCACGCCCCAAACCCTTATTGTGACACTAGACACACTGAGACTATTACAAGTATCTTGGGGAAAGACACTCATTAGGGCTGTCCATCTGATCGGTTCATCCTGATGGACACGGAGTAAATGGATAAATATGCAATACCTGCTCCCAGATCCATGAGGAAAAGGGAAGCCTGGGAGGAGTACCTGATGTGGAAGGGATGCCTCGTAGCAATACAGGATGCTGGTATCATAGAGCATCATCCTCTGCGTTACCAGCGAGACGATACAGTTCCGAAGCCGGGAGATCACCTCTCGATCAGTGAGGGAGACCGGCTGCCGGGGGAGGGGGACAGAAACCGGACCAAAATAAGTGAACGGTCACAGCAAACCACAGAAATCACTTATAACTTGGTTATCCCTCTGGGATGCCAAACCAAACAGCTAACTCCAAGCAGGATTTACAAAAGTGGCTTCTTGCCTGCCCAGTGTGGCTCAGGGGGTTGGCACATCATCCCATACACCGAAAGGCCGCGGACTCTATTCCTGCTAAGGGTGAGTACAGGCAGAACCCATCGATGTTTCTCTCCTTCTCCCTCCTCCGCCCCCCTCCCCTCCCTAAAATCTTTTTGTTTGTTTTTTAAGCATATCCTCAGGCAAGGCTTTAAAAAAAGGAAGGCTTCTTCAGTTACTACCCTACAACTTTGCCATCTGTTGCTGACCTCATCTCTTCAGAAAGAGGGCAAAGCAATTTCACAACACACTTCAAACTAACACACTACAGCAATAATATAGTTAAAAACTGCAATAATATAGTTAAGAAGCAGAAGGAAGACTGAGTACACTCTGTCCCGACAGCTAGAGGTGTTTACGCACCTCCAGGTTTGCAATGAAGCCCCCTGCATCCTCTTCTTTGTGCTCAGGGGTAGGGTAGATCCAGATGAAGCCGTTGTTACCCAGAATCACTGAGGCACCACAAGGCAAGTCATGGAAGTGAGTCTTCTGCCGCTTCACCAGGGAGGGGGACACCTGGACCAGAACACCCTGACCTAGCTGGAGAGAGACGTCACACCTAAGTCGCATGAGACCAGTAGGTGGAGGGAAAGTAGATTGCAGAATGCATGTCCTAGTTATTGTGGAATCAGTCCTTCTCGTTAGTAACTGCGGGTGGGTCACCATCTGCACATGCACAGTAATTATTCAGAGAACACTTCTCGGTGCAATTGCTGACATATCCCAAGGAAGGTGACTTTCAATATCCTTCTGTGCTATTTTCCTTTGCAATCACCACCACCACATTCTAAGCCAGGGCTGTGCGCTGACTGCTGGAGAAGCTGGGGCCAATGAGGACCTGGCTGGAGCCTCTTGTAGGCCAAGGAATGCTGTCTGTGCACCTTGACCCCAACCACCTAGCTTGCCAACAAGATGTGCAGCACTGGGCTGACCAAGGGTGCACGTCCAGCCCTGGTTCTGACAGGACAGCCCAAACCCCACACCCGCCAAGGGAGGGTCCGCAATACCCAGGCCCAAAAGGCCAGCGTGTGCAGGGTAACTTTCACCTCCTGCTATAAGGACATGAACGTGGTTGGCTGTAGCCACTCCATTAAGGGAAGGAAATGAAAAGCTTCATTCAGATAAAGCCAAGATACTAACAAGTCACAATTTGTTTTGGGAAGCTATCATTTAAAAAAAAAAAAAATAGCATCAATAATGTAACCTGATAGAAGAAAAGCAGTAAAACTTCATTTAGAGGCTCACGTGAACAATCGTTCTAGAGATAATATCCATTTTATTGATTAGACGTTTGTCTGAGTTACTCTCCTGCTTCATCAGACTGAGACTTCCCTTTGTTCCAGACTGCCTCCCAGCCCTGGCCCCAGCGCAGCACCCACCGGAGGGAGCTCTGTGGATTCAGAAATGAATCTGAAGTCTCGTTCGACAAACAGGAATAGCAAGAGCCCAACTTACTTTTCCGTATTTCAGACTCCTTGTGTGCAGGGAAACGGCTCCATCAGAGAACACTGCCTGCACCTCAGCCTGACCAGGATGATGAAGGAGCGAACGTTTTTCATGCCATCTGCATCCCCCCTGTCCCTGACCCCCCTCCCCATCCTTTCCTCCCACCCAACGGTCCCGCTGGGCAATCCTGGACCGGAAGGGCATGACCTTGACCTAACCTTACCCTCTGGCCATGAATATCTTAATATGAATAACACCTTTCCTACAACCTGGGATAAAAGTTAATGTCATGCCGAAACCGGTTTGGCTCAGTGGATAGAGCGTCGGCCTGCAGACTGAAGGGTCCCAGGTTCGATTCCGGTCAAGGGCATGTACCTTGGTTATGGGCACATCCCCGGTAGGGGGTGTGTAAGAGGCAGCTGATCGATGATTCTTTCTCATCGATGTTTCTAACTTTCTATCCCTCTCTCTTCCTCTCTGTAAAAAATCAATAAAATATATTTAAAAAAAAAAAAAAAGTTAATGTCATTAAGAAAATGAGAGTCTAGCTTAAAGCACAGGCCACATCAGTTACAAGACCCAAAGAAACGACGTAGCAGGCCAGACGTGACAAGAGCTGGAGCGTCACCCTGCATTAAGGACCCGGGGAAGGGCTGCAGCAGAGCCCGACACTCCATCTGGGACGGGGATGTTTCTCCTGTGGGAGACGGACCGTTTAAGCCCCACTTCCCAGCGCCACAGCAGCAGAGGGTGGAGTGCACGGTGCAGGATACACTGATGAGGTCCCCTTCCTGCAGGAAGCCCCTCATGGCCAGCTCGTCTTCTGCAGATCTCCTCCTCTGAAACACACCAAGGCACAGCGTTACTTAGTCAGCTCCGACAGAAAGGCCTCCTGCTTCCCTTTTCTCATTCCCTGCAAGGTCTCTAAATGCAGTCACAGGACCAAACGCTAATGTAGGTAACCCAGTGGTCGGCAAACTTCGGCGCACGAGTCACATGCTGTTTGCCGTTCTGTTGACTAATGAGTTTGCCAACCACTGACCTAGACTCTGGATTCCAATAATTGCAGGCTGTTGGTGTTCCTTGTGATTAAGCCCCTATCCCAGTGGTCGGCAAACTGATTAGTCAACAGAGCGGCAAACAGCCTGTGACTCTCGAGCCACAGTTTGCCGACCACTGAGGTAACCTGTGCCCCTCAAGATGAGAGTGACAAACTTACAACCTCCCCACAGCTCTTCTCCTTCTCCCTCCTCTGGGAAGCATTAAAGCTCTGGACATGGTGTTCAGAACCCTCCGAAGATAGCCCAGCCTACTTTCCCCGTGACCTTCCCGGGCAGCCCTGCCCGCTCCAGCAGGACAGGACCGCCTCCAGCCCGACTGTCTTTGCTCACACATTCCCCTTCCTCTCAGATGTCCCCAGTTCATCCTTGAAATTCTCTCCATCCTTTAAGGACCAACTCTAGAGCCCACCTTTCCTATGAGTGTCTTTCACTGAAATTAATCCTCTTTCTGTACAATCCCACACTCTTTGTTCTTCACTACCAGGTACTTGGAGGTTATCTACATCCCTGGCAGTCTGTAAGCTTCAGGAACTCGGTCCCGCCTCCTTTGTCCTGCTTCTCCCCAGAACCTCGCACAAGGGAAACCAGGGCCTTTTACAAAAGGCTGCAGCTGCCTGGAGTAACCCAATGCCACTCAATTCCTGGAATCGAATCTCAATGCAAAACACACTTTTCAAAGCTGATGAAGCCAGAAGGAAAACTGTAAGCACCAAGTCTCTGAGAGCTTATTTCCAACTCCCTTTTGGGGTTCCTCCTCATGGACGCTCCAGATCTCACTACACCCCAACTGCTGCCTACGTGTACATCGGGCAGCAAACGTGCCAGCAGAGCAGGAGTAAGCGGGCAGCCTCAGTGGAAAGCAGAGCTTTCTGGCGGAGCAGAGACCAGAGCTCTCAGCAAATTAGTCCCAGCAGCAGCCCCTCACCAGCTCTCCTCCTGGAAGGTTCATGGAAGACAGAAGCAAGACGGAATCCAGCCTGGAGTTCGTCTCCACCTTCCACCTCTTCTGCTGAACCTAGAAACAAAGAAATTCCACACCTGGACACATACTCCAGGACCAAGACCGCACAACACGAGTGACCAATAACGCCAAATAACAAGCCACTGTTTCCATCCCAGGTCACATCCCGAGCCGAATGCAGTGACTCTTTGTCAACGTAACTGCACACAGAATGCTATCCCATTCATTAAGGCTCCAGCTTGCTTTTACTACGTAAAAGACCAAGATGACATGACTTTACCTCTGTGATCCTCCCCACCACGATGTCGCCTACTTCACCATTGTATCTGAAAGACAAAACAAATGGTGACCCATCAGTAAAAGACTCGAGTACAAAACCAAGCGCTATTGAGGTTTCAGTTCAACAGGATGAGGGCCCTGAGTAGGCACCACATTTAGTGACTTCAAACCACTATGCTGTTGGGACTTATCCTCAGGCAATGATCACTTCAAGCACTCCTGCGAGTACAGTCTTCGTTAACTATTCCTCAGCGAACCATTCACTACAGCAGTCCATGAAGCCTGAACCTCTCTTCTGTTAACTACACGACAATGATAAACACGGAGTATTTTCTGGTGGCATCAGCCACGGGAGGAGAAAGGAGAGTGAGACCGCACACCACCCAAACCAGTCTACCCACTGTCTCCCGCACCCACTGGCGGCTCCTGCCAGGCCCTTTGCTAGCTCTTCGCCCCAATCCTGAGCTGAAGGCTCAGGCCTTGGGCCTCTTCTCTGTTCGGCCCACGCTCACCTCTTTGTGAGCTCATCCACCTAAAGGCACGAGGCTGCACCACTCCCCTGAATTCGACTCCAGGCACCTGCTGGCACCAACATCTCTTATAGGCGTGGTTAATAGGCATTTTCAAATGTAACACCCCTACAACAAAGCTCCCAGCACCCCCTCCTCCATCACAAACTGATCCTCTCCTAGAGGTCCCCATCTCAGTAAAGGACAACTCCATCCTACAGTTGCTCAAACCAAAAACCTCAGAATCTTAGTTTTTGTGTGTGTGTTTTTTAAGTAATGTGAGGAAATCTTCAAAGCCCACACTTTCCTAGCCACCTATTCATGTTCCAAATCGCAGACCCACAGCATGCCAGGGCAGGCAGGTGGGGGTGGGAGGTACGGCGTGGCAGAAAAGGCCTGGTTGTGCAGGGTGGACGCCACAGGAAAGAGAATACACACCTTTTGTTCTCACCTGGTTTTCAAAGCTTTCACACAGATCAACTTGTTTACTCTTTCCACAGAACCGGCCACGGATGCAATAAGTTTCTCTTCCCCCATGTAAGTTCCGTGGCCCCTGTTGCAAGAAGACACAAAGGATACCAGGTAACACTTGTCAAGAACAATGTATTCCTCCGACTACCAGGCGCCTCCTCCCTCCCAGCCTGGCTTTTGTCATTGCTCTCCCCTATTCTAGAGACCTACATGGACATCCCCCTCATCTCACTCAGGTCTACACCAACGTCACTTTTTCCATCCGGCCTACCCTGGCTGCCCCATTTAAAATAGTCACCTACCCCTCTGCTACCACCCCACCACGGTCCCAACCACATTCCACTTCATCTGCTCAACTTTTCATCCCCCCCCCCCCCGCCCCCCCGACTGGATTCATCGCCAAACATCCTGAATAGCTTGTTCGTTGTGCTTATTGTTTAGCATCTGTCTCTCCCGGTTCGAATATAAACGCCACCAGGTTTCTCAGGATCCAATAAGCTCAAACTAAAAGGTGAACGGGCAATTCTGTAAATGCTGTATCCTTCTTATATCTACATGTGGACTTCTCCTCCCCAGGAAAAAAAAAAAAAAGACGAAACACCACTAGTGTTTATCTGTTACGGTGATATAATGGGTGTTTTGCTTCTTTACATAATGATCTTATTTAATCCTCATTACCCTATCAAACAGTTACTGTTACCATCACTATTTCCCCCCCGATGAGGAAACTGACTTTGGAGAGGAAGTACATACAATTCATATGTACTGGACTGGAACCCACACTGTCTGACTCCAGGGCCTGCCCTCTTCACTGCAACAGACTGTACTGCGCGCAGATTCGAAGGTGTACACTTGGGTGCGTGTGGCCCAAACAATTAGATTCCAAAACTGTGCCCCTGACTAGGAGGAGGAGGCGGCCAAATGAGGAACCCACTGTCCCCACTAAGAGGTCCCTGCTCCTAACCCTCCCCCCGTTCTCCAGGTCTCCAACCAGGAAGGCTGAGAACCGGGGCTCAGGCAGAGGGGCCAAGAAGCCCGGCCAGCGGAGAAGGGCTTCAAGGGTCTGAGACGAACGCACCCGGGGACACACAGGTGCAGGGAGCAGAAGCCCGAGGCCGTGTAAAGCGCGGACGCTCCTGAGATGCGCCCCGGGGCCCGCGGGCGCTGTATCCGGGGGCAGAGGCCCAGGTTCCGGCCCGCGGGCCACGTGCAGAGCCCCGCGGCCGCCCTCCGCGGCCCCGAATCCCCGGGTCCCCACGCACCGCATGAAGCCCGTGTCCGTGGTGATGGTGTCCCCCGGCACCACCAGGTGTTTCTTAGTCTCGCGGCCCAGACTCTCGCTAAGAGGCTTGCGAGCCACCGGGAGCCTCATCTCCATCGCCATCTTGGCGCCAATGAATTGCGCAGGCGCGGCCCGGCCGAGCGCCGCGAGATCCCGTCCCGCGATTCCCGGCCCACGCTCGGAGGGGGCGGGGCCTCGGAGCAGCAGCCAATGGGAACGCATGGTCTGGCGGCCATCGTCACTATGGGCAACAGTTAGGATCAGATTCAGGGAAGGAGGGAGCAGCGTCGCCATTTTTACTACGGGAAGTCTGCACCTGGGGAACAAAATTTCATGTATGGTGTTGGTTTTTTTTGTTTGTTTGCTTTTTTGTTTGTTTGTTTTAAAATATATTTTGTTGATTTTTTACAGAGAGGAAGAGAGAGGGATAGAGAGCTAGAAACATCGATGAGAGAGAAACATCGACCAGCCGCCTCCTGCACACCCTGCACTCCTGCACACCCTGCACGGGGGATGTGCCCGCAACCAATGTACATGCCCTTGACCGGAATCGAACCCGGGACCTTTCAGTCCGCAGACCTACGCTCTACCACTGAGCCAAACCGGTTTCGGCTGTTTGTTTTTGTTTTTTACCAAAACTGCCTCGCAGTCGTCCAATTGGTTTACCAGGGTCAGAGGTCGTTGAGAAATGGCCCTCAGGGTGTCACTGTGAATGAGCGCAGGAGGAAAACACTCTTTTTTAGACGGAAAGAAGAGCCCCCTTTCTTGCTGCTCCTGGTGCCGCCAGTATTCCGCTCAGCACCCCCCGTCATCTGCACCCCCACAGGGAGCTCTGGGTGCTGCTTCCGTTCTTTCATAGCGACTGTGGAAGGAGCTGGTGTACTCTAACACTTCTTTTGTGAAAACAAGAAACTGAGAAAACATTCAACCCTTGCAAGGCAGGTACATCTGGTAGGCAAGCGGGCCCAGGATACAAAGCTCTGCGCTTATCTTTCCTCAAACGTGAACGGAGTGCTCTCTCGTGTTCTGAGGACTGTGGCGGAGGGACAGATGTGCTGTGACTCTGCCTTCACTTCCTGTTTGATAGGCGCACTTCCGCCTCCCTTCTCCCCACCCTTCCCCTCGCCCTGGCCCTGCGTGGTTTATAGCGTTCACAACAAACCTCGGGGAACCGGAGAGGACCGTTCTTCATGCACATGGACCCTCAAGAGGTTTGAATGAAACGAGTTGCATCAGTCCTGCCCACTGTGCTCACAAAACCAGGCTTGCTGCCTCCTGAAGACCCATAGACTGATGGTTTGCTAAATCTCCAAAAAGATCAAGACATTGGCAGGTTTGGTGTCTGGTGAGGGTTCGCTTCCTGGCTCATAGAGAGCTGTCTTTTCACTGTGTCCTCATTGGCTTAAGGAGTGAGGGATGCTCTGGGGTCTCTTTCATAGACGCTATTTGGATTCATGAACCTTTCTATAGGTTCTCCTTGCTCCTCCGCCTTCCTAATTGATCCCACTGCCTCCAGATTCTAGGGAATTGTGAGTATCGCAAATTTTTCATGATCAGATCCCTGCCCGCTCACCCTTGTACCTCCAGCAGGGGGAAATCTCTGCAGCTGACTTAGTCTGCAATTACAGCCTCCTGCCACCAGGTGGGTTCTGGAGACTGGCTGGTAGGCCCCTGTGATCTGTAGCGGGGCCAGGAGAGTACCGCAGGCTAACTCACCCATCTGCATCCCAAGGGAATGGGGTTTAGGGACAGAGAGCTTTGGTTAGATGCCTGGGTGGGGGCTGCAGTGGGAGGATGGTAATGCCAGGGGCCACCAGAGACATCAGAAACCTGATGGTATCAAAGCAAAGGCAAGGTTTGTGATGGGAGCGGGAGCAGGAGCACCAAGGGTGACTTCCCCCACTGGTCCCCCTGGAAGGAAACCCCAGAAGGGGATATGCAAATGAGCACATTAAATGTACATTTCTGCCCATGCTTCCACCTGCTAGGGTGCAGTCCCCCAAAGTGTGGGGGTTTTGGGAGTACACACCTGAAGCTCCAAAGTGGGGAGTGGCCTGTGTGTGCACGTGTGCATTCAAGCGTCTGCAGTTGTGTGTGTATATGTGCGCACGCGTATGACTAGAGGAAGACGCCAGTAGCCAGAGAGGGTGACACCCTCATGGCTGGCGTGTACTGGAACACAGGCTTGAACGCACATTGCCTGGTCACACCTGCCCTGGAGGGAGGAGCCAGGGCCTGGCCCTGCACTGAAGGCCTCTCTGCTCCTGGGTCACAAGGAAGTCCGAAGTGGGTGTCTGAGCACTTGGGAATTCTATGCATCGGGAGGACACATATGCCCATCTTGCTCCCACCCTCACTCCTGGCTGCTTGAATTCCTTCAAGTTGTCCATGAAAATAGGGGGGAAAAAAGTAAGTAAAAATTTTAGGGAAGTGATTAAATGGGACCTATATTTGAGTCAGCTGGAAAGGAGGAGTCAGCCCAGCCCCTTCTGTGGTGTCATGGAATCAATCTGGAGGCGGGTGGCTTTGCACTTCGGCCATCTCTTTGCGAGCCAACACCCCATTTGCAACAGATTTTTCCTTATAGATGGCACAATGGACAACTCCTCCCGTCCCCTCGCCAGCTTCCAGGCACTTCCCATATCCCCTCTTCATGTAGACAAAAGGGCCAGGCCGTTCAGATGCTAAGTGATAAATGCTCCAAGTAATTTTTATTTTAGAATACAAGAGAGGTACAAATGTATTTACAGTTATACATATACAATCAAATAATATATACCACGGTTTTGTAAATAGCATTTCAGGTAAGTATTTACAACGTTAAAGTGACCATTTTCTGGAAGTAGAACACAGTTTCTTGAAAACTCTATACATTTTATACTTTTCATTAATATTATTATAGTTTCTGTTATCTTACAAAACGCCCTACGGAAACACTGGGAAATGCCTGGAAGGTGAGAGAGATGACACCAGAGGGCGCTCGGGCCGAGCTGGGGGGAAACGGGAAAGAGTAAGGGAGAGTGTGGGCGGCAGGGTGGACACCCCCCCCACACACACACCCATTCCGCACGGCCAGCCAGCCTGCCCTCCTCTCGCTGGAGTGTGGCGAGGACGGACAGGAAAACTTCCCTTTCCCAACCATGATGCCAGGGCTGAAGGGGAAGGGGGGGGCCCTCGGTCCAATTCTCTCATTTTATAAATAGAGGAAGGGGAAACTGAGGCCCAGGGGGGCCGAGTCTTTCCCGGGTCCCACAGTGGCTTTCCGTTTGCCTCACTCTCTTCCGGGAGCCGCGTGGGGGCTGGAGGAGGAAGGGGTCCTAAAAGTGACCCCCATTCCCCCCCGCGACCCCCTTAAAGGGCAGTGCGGGCCTCCTCGGGCGGCCGTGCCTCTCCGGGGCCTGCGGACCCTGCAGGACAGGAGTCCCCAGAGGCAGGCCGGGGAGCGGATGGGCGGGCGCCGGGCCAGGCCGGGCCGGGAGGCCGCGCTCCTCCCCTGCCAGCCCGCAGCTCTGGGCGCCGAGGTCGGGGTCCCTTCCCCTCTGGGGACCTCGGAGACTCGCAGTCCCTTCTCCCGCCGCCCCCGAGGGGGGATCCGGCTCGGACGCGCGGCTCGATCGGAAGAGGGAGGCCGGGGAGCTGGACCGGCCTTGGGGACCCCCCACCCCAGGAGGAGGCGGCCGAGCAGCTGCAGCCCACGGCTGGTCCCGGGGAAGAAAGCCTCACCCCGGCGTCCCCATCCGCACCGCGGGGCTCCGGGCGGGAGCACCCGACCGTGCGGGCCGCGGCGGAGGGCGGCGCTCACAGCACCATGGCCGGCAGGTGGTGCGCGGCGGCGGCGGCGAGCGCGGGCGGGTGCGCGTGCGGGAGCGGGAGCGCGGGCGCGGGCGCGGGCAGCGCGGGCGCGGGCGCGGCGCCGGGCGGCCGGTGGCGCGCGCTCTTCTGGTGGGCGCGCAGGCCGGCCAGCTGCGAGTAGGCGCTCTGGCACACCTGGCACTTGTAGGGCCGCTCGCCCGTGTGCAGGCGCACGTGGTTGCGCAGCGTGGACGACTGGCTGAAGCGGCGGTTGCAGAAGCGGCACACGAACGGCTTGTCCAGCGTGTGGATGCGCATGTGCGAGCGCAGGTTGCTGCGCGAGTTGAAGCCGCGGTGGCAGATGACGCAGCGCATGCGGCCCGCGGGGCCCGCCGAGTCCGCGGGGTGGAAGTCCTCTGGCCGCGGGGAGAGGGGCGGGGGGGGGGCAGAGAGAGAGGCCTCGTTAGAACCCGCGCCCAGCGCCCAGCACCCACGCTCCCCACGCGCGCGGTGCTCCCGGGATCGCCCACCTCCAATGGGATGGAGCGCGGGCAGCTGATGGGGAGCGCGGGCAGGGGCTGGGAAGGGGAGCGAGGGGCCTGGCTTGGGGTCAGGCAGGAGCTGGGCTCCAGGCCACACTGTGAGACTCGGAGACTTAGTGACTCCGGGCCCCACCAAACCTCAACTTTCCCATCTGTAAAAGGGAGTCTGCTGCCCCTCGGGGGGGCTCTGCAGGACCAGAGGAGACATCACCAAGAGCTGAAGGCTACTCTGTGCTGAGCACTTACCTGCCTGCCCCCAGTTACTTTTTATAAACAGAGGAAGGGGAAACTGAGGGGAGTGCAAAGCGCCTGCCCCATGGTAGCCTTCCATAAGTGGAAGTAACTATTATAGCCCCTCTCCTCCCCCCAAGAAAAACTCCTTTCATTTATTGTCCCCACAAACGTTTCCTGAGGCCTCCTGTGGGCCAGGAACCGCGCTCACTTTCCCCCTCAGAGCAATACCAGCAGCCCCGCCCTGAGCTGCTGTGAGGACTAGAGGAATGACTGTCAGCTGCAGGGGAAGGCTCCGTGAGCAGAGTTCATAAGCCTCAGGTGCATCCTCTAGAAATAAGGGGCATCAGAGCTCACGAGGATTTCCTGAGGACCCCGGGGATAAACGTTTAGCCCAAACCGTGGCACAGAGTAGGTCAGCGGCCCTCCAGCTGCTCTCCGCCTTCCCACAGCTTCACAGAGCACCACGCAGTGCCAGGCTGGGCCAGAGCCTCAGGGCCCGGAGGGAGCTTAGAGGTCACATTACCCAACTCCTTC